GGCCACCTCCCGGAGCCCAGGAGAGGGCGCCCGCGACTCCCAGCGCTGCTGCCACCCAGCGGGCCGCCCCGCGCAAGGAGGCTCCGCGGGCCGACGTGTAAGGGGCAGAGACGGCTCAGAACGCCCGAGATCTGCCGCCATGTTCCAGTATAGCATGGGGCCGGCTCCCCATGACCGACTGCGGTTCGAGTTCCGGACCTGGCGGCTTGCTTTCTCACTTGTCCCCTGCTCTTGCTCTGTCCCTCTCTGGTTACATTTAAAAGTAAATAAATAAAATAATTTAAAAAAATTTTAAATACCATGGGGCTGGCAGGTGGCGTGGTGGTTGGGGTGCTGGACTCCCACATGGCCGACCGAGGTTCAAGTCCTGGACCTGGTGGCCTGCTTTCTCACTTTCCCTCTCTCTCTCTCTTACTCTGTCCCTCTCTGGTCAAATTAAAGTAAATAAAGTTAGATTTAAAAAAATAAAAAAACGCACGGGGGGTGGAGCAGTGGTCGCGCAGGTGGCCTCCCACATGGCAGACGGCGGTTTGAGGCCCAGACCAGGTGGCTTGAAACTCATGCCGGGCGTCTGCACGCGTGGCCAGGATCCCAGAAGGGATAGCGGCAGGCCATCGCCCCAGGGGTTAAGCCCTCACTTTCCCTCTCTCTGTCTCTGTGTCTCCCTGCAAGCACACGCGCCCTAAGACAGAAACTTCAAAAACACAAGACGCACGCACCAGGTGCGCGTGCGTGCCCCAAATCCCGAGAGGACAGAGAAGGACTGGGGCGGCCACCCCGGGTGCGTTCTCTGTCTCTGTCTCTGTCTCTCTGCGGCGAGTGCACGCGCCCTGGAGCCAGTTAGAACCGCCGTGGGGAGCCCGCGCGCCCCCTGCAGGCCGGCCGCGCACCTGCGTGAGCAGCATGAAGGCGTTGTCGGCGCGCAGGTTCTTCTTCAGGAACTCCACGCAGTGGGCCTCGAGCGCCGGCACCGCGTACTTCTTCGCCGTGTACAGCGTGGTCATGACGGTCTCCGGCCCGATCTGCACCTCGTCGGAGTAGAGGAACCTGCGGCCACAGGGCGGCGAGCCCCG